TTCAAGGGAGATTTCAGAAACTTCACAACCAACCCACTTTAGTAAAGTGTATAAGTAAACCGTTTTTTCTGTGCTAATTTTCTATATCATATTCATGCTTCAAGTGAAAACGTTCATTTTAGAAACATTTCTATCAGCCGTATTGGACTCTGGTGGGCGGTGGTTTAAAGAAGTTCAAAGACTCATGGAAACCTACATCTTCGGTCATAAATAAAAACTGCGAATGGATCCCGGAACGTATAAAAAAATTTTACCCCGATCAGAATTTGGTTGTGACGAGTTCCGGTAATGAGGTAATGCGAATTATTTAACTAAGCCTCTTCTATTTCTTAAACGGAAACGCTTATGTCTAAGTTCAAGAAAAAGTTATTTTTTAGACTGCAAAATTGTCAACATTTGTAGATCCCTTTCCCTAACGACTCTGTATATTGTTTCTTCACAAGATTATGAAACCCATCGTTGAACAAACGTCATTACTAATTTATTTTGATAGAATCATAATTATGCAAATTCATGCTCGTTTCTGTTTGAATACATGTATGCTGGATGTAGATGAACTGTTTTTGTCAATAATCTATTTATTGTGGCAGATAGATGGTAGATATGTTGTGAAATAAGTTGATGCTTATTGCGTTAGGAAACTGCGTTAAGCTTTTTGTTGCTATTCCAAACAATGCATAAAAGTAGTTGAATCACATTCAACTTACCAATTTAACTGCTTGAATCGGATTTTATGCATTTTTCTGTGCAATTCAAAATTTATTCTCTACAAATTTAGAATCTAATATTACTTTCAGTTCACGTATGATTTTATGGTCGTTGCCGTCGGAATTTCGCTACGTTTTGACATGGTAAGTTTCTCTCGACTTCTCGTTTCATTCGACCAGCGGAGCGCTCGTTATGCTTCGTCCTGTATTTATTCATTAAGTTCCCATCGACTTTTCTGCTAGAGAATAGACATGCTAATTTTGTGCTGGTAAAAACTGGTTTGAAATCGGTTATCATTTGGTTTCTACTATAAATATCAAAATAGGATTGTGCACTGGAGTATGTCAAATCACACATACTTCCTCTTAGACCAGATTTCAAGACGTATTGTATCGTTTCCTGCTCCTACTTGGCTAGGAGGATGAGGTCGAGGTCGTTTAAGCAAGTCACAGAGTCACAGCTCCATGGTACTTGAGCACTTCCGGTTGCAATGTGCGTCTCGTATCATTTTGTTTCGCTAGAGCCACCTCAAGTTCGTTGTGAACGATGTTTCAAAAGCTGGTACTCCTTATGTTGCCACACAAATATCAAAGTGTGTTTGTTCGAGGTAGTACGCTAAATAACCGAAAACCCCTCTAACACAATGTTTTAATGCAGGAAATCTGATTTTGGGGCGGTTTCCGACATTCAACATCAGGTCGTTTTAATTTACATGAAAAATTAATATGGAATACATGAAAGCTGGAAATACTATTCATTAGAATCGATTGTATGTTCATGCTTTCACTGGTCGTCACAGTGACTACTATAAACTGCATTATCATTTCTGATTGGCGTTACGGCATCCGTCAACTATGCTTACATAAAAATGATCATGCATTCCAAGATGACGAACAGCAGAATACATAGTGAAGCCCAGATCGGTCTGGTGTAGACTAGAGTAATAAACCTTATGATCATGTGAAGTCGCTACCTCTCCTCCATTTCGTCCACTTATTCACAGAATGCAAATCTTGAATGCTTTGCAAGAAAATTTATGTAACAATCCGAGCAAATGATATTTGAATGCTGCTTGAGCCTTAAATAAGGTTGGTTTTCTTCGTACTTAAATGGCAGTCATTTAACAGGCAGGCTAGTGCTATTGCAGTTTTGTTCCCAGCGTTGTTTTTTTTTGTTTTGTCATTCATTGCCAATAACTTTCTCATTTATGCTAAAAACTAAACTGCTCCAAAGTGGTTGATCAAACAGTAAAGTCTCAGTGAAGATTTGCCTC